GCGAGTAGATTTCTGTAAGAAGTGGAAACACGACAAATGCCAACAACACATACCTATCCTCTTCTTTGAGGGTTGCTTTCTAATGGTGGACGAATAATATTAAATTTTTTTACCAAGAAATTGTAGCCTAACAGGGCTTTACGGACAAAAAACGAAGTAAACCTACCCGCTTCATTTGTGATTTTACTCCACTAATGCGATGCTTAATCATCTAATAAATCATGCTAATGAATCATCTACCAAAGCAAATGGTATCATTTACTTTTGTAGCAGCAAAAGGCTTCGCATTTTTTCTGATGAAATATTAGAAGACACGCGTAGGAATCGCAAATCATGTATTGAATGAATATATGAGGAAACAGCTTGTGTTTTATTCCTTTGCCATAGACACCTACAGAGTTTTCTACAGATGGGAGCGGGATTCATCAGTACAGCCTTCTAACATATGACAAACCCGCAGGTCAAGAGTAAAAGTAAAATAACAGGAAAGAATGCTTTTTGTTGCTGAGAATTTCAGAGCAAAGAAAAGCAGCAACAAGCAAATTTTTCTATTTTGTCATTTGGTCGCGCAGCGGTGGCCGGGAAGGGTGCTGTGGCCGCTCAACTAGCTGCTGTGATTGCCACACGTTACTCGGCGGTCAGGAAACAATTTCGGACAGCTGCAGGAGGTTTGCACTTCTGCATAGACACACGATTTAACTTCGATTTTGGTGTTGTCGCATTTCAGTTCGTCACTGACTCCTCGTCGGCATTCAAGATTTGCCATCTTCCATCTAGTATCTCGTGCCCTTACCAAAAGAGTAGCAGCTCATCTCCTGCCAAGATCACATTATCATGATTATCATAGTATTGCTCGTCTCCTGTTCGTAATAAATTATCATAACCATAGTAAAATTACCAAGCACCTATCTCCTGTTACGAAGCTTCCTCTGGCTTGATCAGTTACTGCTATCTTAGAAATGCAGTTGGAGTAAGCTGGAGTGGGTATCAACTTGAAAGGGGGAAAGCCGAATTTAGAAGAGCCCTTTTTGCTGGAAAAGCCTAAAAACTGTACGCTTTTAAATGTGTTTGGCAAACCTAGATGGAGTAGTGCGAAAAGCAATTGCTTGGCGATAACTCGCATTAGAAGACAAGCAGAAATTGCTTACAATCGAGAATCTTCGGCTCGCTAGATGCTTCAACTTACTGTATTAGAAACAAAAAAAAAAAATAAAACAAAAATAAAATAAGAACAAGTCTTATTGCCCGAGCAATCTGCAAAGTAGCACGCATGGCTTATTGCCCGAACATAGCCTTACTGTCTAAGCAGCTCGTAAATCAGCAATTATGGAACATATGTGATGTAGCGAAGAGAAAAGGTAGAAAGAAAAACAGACGCCTCATTATGTGAGCAGTCTATAACGTAGCATATATGTCTTACTTTCTAAAAATTTTACAAGGCAGCAATTAGAGAAGCCTGTAAAAAGTAGCCAGGGAGGCAGGATGTGAGGGAAAAAACAATCCCTCATTGTCTGGGCAAATAGTCACGACCTCACTGGACTTCGCGCATGTTTGTTTTGCAGAAGAGCTGCCAGTTATTGAATATGCAATGCAGCAGCATAGGGTATTTCCGCTCATCGCGACGGCTGTGGCGCACCACATATTCTATCGTAAATTCGTTACAATTTGCTACAAGCACTTCAAAAATTGCTTCGAAAACGAAGACGATTCAGAGCAGCGGAAGGTATTCACTTCAGTAAACTAACACTTATTTCAGCAGATGCACCTTAGCAAAGGACACTCTATTTTTCCAGATGAAATGTCAAGAGATGATAAGGGATTAGTCAGAACAACAAATGCCACAGCAACATTTTAGGAAAGCGGCCTGTGGTTTCATCCCTATGTCAGGGTCGAAATCCTAGATTCTTCTGCCTTCTAGCCGCTTTTTCCTCATCAACTACGAAGGCACTCAGGAAATACGAAGGCACTCACGTCATTTTAGATGCATTGCTGGCAAGGTGGAACCTTTTAGATGCAAGGGATGAAATGACTCTGTAACATGTGCCAGTATCAGTTTGTCTTCGGAACGAATGAATGAGTTGTAGAGAGATTGGTTGTCTTTCTGGCAAAATGCAACTCTTCTTCTGCACAAGAGTCGTGCTACCTGTCGCTTCTACCAGCCGGCTGAAAACCACTACTCTATTTTTCACAACCAGTTTTCGCGACCTAAGATTCAGTTTGAGAATAAGAGAAATTTGAATTATGTTGATGATTAAAAACATAGGATTTATAGCAGTTGTGTGCGACGTCACGAGAATTGCATGTCCTTGGTTGCTCAGCAAAAGTGATATTGACGGAAACAGGAGTAAACGCTTTGGACGAAGCTCGTCTCGCGTGCGGTGGCCATGGGTTCGTCTATTAGTTGTAGACTTGGTCATATCGGTCCTGGTTTCTTATTCTCGATTCGAAATCATCCTAATAAATGCCAACACATAAGAAGATGCAGCAGAAAAGACATTTTGTTTTGCTATGCATTTGTTAAAGCTCTTCTTTATTAAACGCAAAGCAGAGCCATGTGTTACGTTCTGGAAAATTCAGTTCTCTGGGTAGTTTGGTTGAGAAGTCACAAAATTTTCAGGCCAATTTTCTATGCGTCTAGGCGTAGGTTTTATGAGAAGCGTGAAAGCTGATTCCACCTATACCTACTTTTTACACCGTCCTGAACAAGCTCGCAAAATTTTAGCTTTCAGACTATTGTGCTTACAGAATTACAAAATGGCCAGTGTCAAATTTCGTGAGTCCGCACAT